GATAGATAGATAGAGAGAGAGACAGACAGACAGACAGACAGACAGAGAGAGAGAGAAATAGAGACATAAGAATGAGCAAGAGAGACAGAGATAGATGGATAGATAGATAGATAGATAGATAGATAGAGAGAGAGACAGACAGACAGACAGACAGACAGAGAGAGAGAGAAATAGAGACATAAGAATGAGCAAGAGAGACAGAGATAGATGGATAGATAGATAGATAGATAGATAGATAGAGAGAGAGAGAGATAAATAGATAGATAGAGAGAGAGAGAGAGAGATAAATAGATATTGATAGATAGAGAGATAGAGAGATAAATAGATAGACAGACAGACAGACAGATAGATAGATAGATAGATAGATAGAGAGACAGAGAGACAGACAGACATAGAGAGAGAGAGAGAGAGAAATAGAGACATAAGAATGAGCAAGAGAGACAGAGATAGATGGATAGATAGATAGATAGATAGATAGATAGAGAGAGAGAGAGATAAATAGATAGATAGATAGAGAGAGAGAGAGATAAATAGATATTGATAGATAGAGAGATAGAGAGATAAATAGATAGACAGACAGACAGACAGATAGATAGATAGATAGATAGATAGATAGATAGATAGATAGATAGATAGACAGACAGACAGAGAGAGAGACAGAGAGACAGACAGACATAGAGAGAGAGAGAGAGAAATAGAGACATAAGAACGAGCAAGAGAGACAGATAGAGATAGATGGATAGATAGATATAGAGAGAGGGAGGGAGGAAAGAAGGAAGGAAGGAAGGAAGGTTATGTCTGATATTCATTTCTAAAAACTACATAGAGGGACATTTTGATACTATCCCAAATCCCAAACCTCTCAAGCCAGCTGTGCCTCTTCTTCTTCCATTTCTTTGTTTGTGCTGCTGGTGTGAAAGATCTTTATCCTGTGAGCTTCCTCTTGAGTTCCTAAGTCAACAGACCCAGCAAAGGGCATCTTTCCCTAGCATGGATTTAGCAAAGATAACGATGCAACTGTTTTGGCCCCGATAATTGCTGAAAGTCCTGATGAAGCCTGCCCACAGTCCCCACATCTCTGCAGGTCTGCTACCTTTCCAACATAAGGAGGGCTGCCTTATGAGTAAATTGGTAGCAGGCTGTACTTCTGTTCTTTCCCGTGCCCTGGCTACAACATTCGTAATTGAAGGAGCAGCTAATAGTATGTAATGAAGCCTCTGAGTGGGTGGAGGGGTTCTATTTCCCCCCCCCCCCGATGCTTTTAACTAAAAGCATCCCCTCTCTGCCCCGTGCATGTCTGCATTCATTGGGGAAGTCTGTCTTTGTTTCCCTTTTCCCTTTCATTGATGGGGAGGTGGGCTTGTCTTCTGCCTTTCCTTCCAGGTGAGCTTAATGCTGAACGGGTGGCCGGTGATTTCCGCCTTCGCTGGGGACCAAGACGTCACACGAGAAGCTGCCAGCAACGGGGTCTTGATCCAGATGGAGAAAGGAGACCGCGTCTATTTAAAACTGGAGCGAGGAAATTTGATGGGCGGCTGGAAGTATTCCACTTTCTCAGGATTTCTAGTTTTTCCTCTTTAAATGACTCGGACTGGAGGAAGGAAGAGGAGAAGGAGGAGGAGACGGGACAATCCAGCCAGAAGTAAGCCTGAGATTTCCTTACCGATTCCAACCCCTTGAACTAAAGGAACTCGGAAACTGCACACGCCTGGATAAGATCAATCCCATCGCAGAAGTTTCAAACTCTGACTTTGAGGTTTTTGCGCTCGGAAGATCTCGCCAACAAGACGGACAGCTGTCAGGAGATGCCCGTGGTGGACGTCTTTCAATAACGTCGCTCTCTTTTCTTTGCAAACAGTATTTACTGCCCTCTACATTTATCTGGTGATGTTGTATCCATCAATTCCTCACTTCCAGTGTGTCTTTTGCACCTTTGCAACCTTTCCATTCCTCCAGGGTTTTTTTTTTGTGGGGGGGAGTTGTTGTTGTTTATTGTTTTACTTTACACAACCCTCGTACAACGAAGCTGGGCTTGTTTTTAACCATTCCGCCTATCTATCTATACCCTATATCTATCTATCTCTATATATATGTATATGTATACATATTTTTTACTCTCTCCCTGAGTTTAACCTTAAAGAAAAAAAAACAATATTTTTGAATATATGGTGCCATGGTAAGAAGTGCCATGCAAATGAGTGCTAGCAAGCAGACAAGAATACATGGGCACGCACGCACAAAGACACACACACACATGCATATATACACACATGTATTTATGCATGTATGTCACTATAATGTAGGTTGAATACATTAATTGGTCTGCCCTATTGCTATGGAAATTGGAGCGAATGTGAAGTTTGCCAACTGCTTGACGTTTGATTGGTTCTTTCTCCCTCTAGTCAACGTATGGTTCAGCTACAGAAAATAAACTGAACTTTTCCTAATTAGCAATAGCGATAGCACTTAGACTTATATACTGCTTTACAGTGCTTTACCGCCCTCTCTAAGCAGTTTACAGAGTCAGCCTCTTGCCCCCAACAACCTGGGTCCTTGTTTTACCCACCTCGGAAGGATGGACGGCTGAGTCAACCTTGAGCCTGGTGAGATTCAAACTGCTGGCAGTAGGCAGAGTTAGTCTGCAATAGCGATAGCACTTAGACTTATATACTGCTTCACAGTGCTTTACCGCCCTCTCTAAGCAGTTTACAGAGTCAGCCTCTTGCCCCCAACAACCTGGGTCCTCATTTTGCCCACCTCGGAAGGATGGAAGGAAGGCTGAGTCAACCTTGAGCTTGGTGAGATTCGAACTGCTGGCAGTGGGCAGAGTTAGCCTGCAATAGCAATAGCACTTAGACTTATATAACGCTTCACAGTGCTTTACAGAAGGCTGGAAGCTGAGTCAACCTTGAGCCTGGTGAGATTCGAACTGCTGGCAGTAGGCAGAGTTAGCCTGCAATAGCGATAGCACTTAGACTTATATACCACTTCACAGCCCTCTCTAAGCAGTTTACATAGTCAGCCTCTTGCCCCCAACAATCGGAGTCCTCATTTTACCTTCCTCGGAGGGACGGAAGGCTGAGTCAACCTTGAGCCTGGTGAGATTCGAACTGCTGGCAGTAGGCAGAGTTAGCCTGCAATAGCGATAGCACTTAGACTTATATACCACTTCACAGCCCTCTCTAAGCAGTTTACATAGTCAGCCTCTTGCCCCCAACAATCGGAGTCCTCATTTTACCTTCCTCGGAGGGACGGAAGGCTGAGTCAACCTTGAGCCTGGTGAGATTTGAACTGCTGAACTGCAGTTCATCTCAAAAGACAAATTGTGACTTATTAAATAGACTAAACGTTTCCTAATCCACCTCCAAAGACAAATTGGGACTTTTAATGGCCTTTTCATTTCATCGGGGTTTTTTTTCTTTTCTTTTCTTCCCCTTACATGAGAAACCGGCCCGGTTAATGTCAACCGTAGCCAAACCTAGAAAGAAAGAAAGAAAGAAAGAAAGAAAGAAAGAAAGAAAGAAAGAAAGAAAGAAAG